ATGAGGGAATGATGAAAGCTGAGATCCCTGTAGGGCCCATACCTGATGCATTCGACTGGAGGGATCACAATGCAGTTACACCTGTCAAAAACCAGGTTCATTGATTATTTAACACCTGTAAAAATTGAGTTGTATATATTCTCATACCTGTCAAGAGTGTGTAGTGGCTGACTACTGTAGTGTTCATTCAGTCATAAGTATCTATGTTATTGTTATGTCATGCATATTTACCTGTTTATATTAAGAAAAATTTAAGAATTTCAATGCATCACAATTGATCAATGTTGTTCTTCACTTTCTTCTGATGAAACCAGTTAGGGATGTTGCTCCAAGATTGCAAAATAATTCTTGCTCTTAGACTTGGACTCAGTTCATATATCTGTTCAGTTCATATATCATTATGATTGTCTAGTGTCCATTAACTGACCAATCAGATGTCAAAATTTTGAGTGAGGTCTGAGCTTGAGTAGTCCAAGTGCTTCTTAATCATGGAGGTTTTGTCTCTTTCAATGGAAAGATAAATTTCTTAGCTTTAGGTAAAATATTAGTGGCACTATTGTAATAAAACTGCAAGATTCACAGAAACTTAAATATCTTATAAATCAAAAGTTCTTTTCTTAAATTCTCCAGTGAATTACACTTGGTTTAATGCAGGTTGCATTATGCATTAGGTTTATAGTCGGTATTTTTCAAAAACTGATAATGGAGCAGTTAGGATGATAAAGTTAAGTGTAAATATTGTGTGAATGAGACACTTGTGTGAGATTACTTAAAGTATCTTCCTGACAATTCCAGGGTACTTGTGGCTCCTGTTGGGCCTTCAGCACTACAGGCAACATTGAGGGACAGTGGGCCATCAAAAAGAAACAGCTAATTTCACTCTCAGAACAAGGTAATAATGTTTTTTTCTCCCTCACTTAGTATACATAGCTCATAAAGTCTTTGGTCAATGGTCTTTATAAGCCTCTCATATGATATACTTTATTAAGCAATAAAACTGACACACAGACAGCTGATATAATCCTGATACCAAGAATTCCAAAAACTGTTATGTGTAACATGTCTGTTTAGTATCAACTTTTTTGTTTCTATACTCCTGCCAATGGTTGAGTGTATAATGACCTTTTTTATTTCCATGCAACAACTTTAATTGGACACTGTCTGCCTTTACCAGGGTGAGGAAGAAGCCAGTTGGTTTGGGGGGTCAAAAGGTCCAAGGTTAGGGTAGCTATGACTGAAAAAATATACTAGTTTAATATTTAAGTCATGGGCCATCATTTTTGGATAGTTTTCACATGGGTTAGGGAAGGAGCCTATCAATTTGTGGGTCAAAAGGGCAACGGTCAAGATCACTGGCTGAAAAATTGTTTCTATACAAAGATTTCCATTCTTGACCATATTCATACAGTATATCTCATGTGGAACTGTGAATTCAGGCTTCACCACAGTAGACGTCCAGGCATCTTTGCACATTTTTAGTGATTTCACCAGTTCTGGTAATCCATAACATTTTAATTCATTTACAAGTGTGGTTCCACATATTCTCAGAGTGAATAAATGTTGGATGATTGATATTGAGATATAAATTTCACTTACCACAGTGGGCTTGTTTGCAACTTCCCATAGTTGTGGCACTCTACAAACTCTGAGCTCACCAAGACATGAATTTCCCACAAAATCCCAGAGAGGAGACAAATGACTGATTACATTAAGATGTGTATTACATAGGCACAATGGATTCCCACATCTCCTCCCTTGTATTGTATCTTCAGTCCTTCTACAGTACATGTCAATTGAATTTTTCTATTAAAAATTGTGTGCTTGTAATTTTATCTGTAGTGTTTAATTTTATAGGTGTATTGCTTTCTTTTTCTATGAATCCTGGTTTCTAGTTCCAGCTAAATATTCTATCCACCAGTTAGTGTGGATAGCTCTGACCTGTCAGTCAAACTGGGCAGATCGACCAATCAAAAATAAGCACCAAACTCTCTGCGTTACTATGCATTGCTGTCCACCACATTTGCTCACAAACATAAGATCATGTTTGATTGCTTTCTTATTACATTGCAGAGGAATTTGTAAGATTGCACAGAAAATTACTAATTTATCCCAAAAATTATTTCCCCATTGTACTTCAGGCCCATGCAGTGCAGATTGTCATTATTATGAACAGATTCAAGAGAGGTTTTTAACAAAATATCCCTTACGAAACACCATTTTGGAAAATTGTATGCATTGGAAGTGAGACATTATTTTTGATGACGCTTCATATATAAATGCACAAAACTGTTTGTAAATAATATTACTTGTCGTGCTTGTGAAACTATTGAACACAATGTTACATTAATTGTATGCTAATATTCAAATTCTGTATCATATATAATATTTATAAGTCATAATATATAATATTTATAAGTCATAATATTACATGCAATGAAGAAAATGTGTATATGTGTTGTATATTTTTGTCTTTTTATTACCTTGGTTTGGCTTTTCAAAATTATATTGGAAATATTTGAATCCTGCATCATTCTTAATTATTGATTTTGTTTAAATTTTCAGAATAGAGCAATTGCTTGTAACTGGTGTCAATTAACAAAAGACCACCCAATACATTAAATTCTGGAATGAATATTATCCTATTCATATCTATAACTGCAATATCAGATTTTGACATAAATTATTTCAAAATTTTGAATCTAATTATTTTATATACCATTTTTGATATATACATTTTTTGTGTTTTGTTTAATAAATAACTTCTTTTAAAGAGGTTATTTCAGTACAGTTAGGAAAAAAAATGAATAATGCAGTTTCTCGTGAACTGAAGCAAAGACAATACAAAGGAATGAGATCCTTTGATGACCTGTATAGGTGAATCATAAATTCAATAAATACACATATGGACAAGAATGGGATGCATGTGTAATTGACATAAATTTAATGTGTATTTGATGTGGTTTATAGACTGCTACAAGAGTAATTTAATGTGCATTTGATGTGGTTTATAGACTGCTACAAGAGTAATTTAATGTGTATTTGATGTGGTTTATGGACTGCTACAAGAGTAATTTAATGTGTATTTGATGTGGTTTATAGACTGCTACAAGAGTAATTTAATGTGTATTTGATGTGGTTTATAGACTGCTACAAGAGTAATTTAATGTGTATTTAATGTGGTTTATGGACTGCTACAAGAGTAATTTATTGTGTATTTGATGTGGTTTATAGACTGCTACAAGAGTAATTTAATGTGTATTTGATGTGGTTTATGGACTGCTACAAGAGTAATTTAATGTGTATTTGATGTGGTTTATAGACTGCTACAAGAGTAATTTAATGTGTATTTAATGTGGTTTATGGACTGCTACAAGAGTAATTTAATGTGTATTTGATGTGGTTTATGGACTGCTACAACAGTAATTTGATGTGGTTTATGGACTGCTACAAGAGTAATTTAATATGTATTTGATGTTGTTTATAGACTGCTACAAGAGTAATTTAATGTGTATTTGATGTGGTTTATGGACTGCTACAAGAGTAATTTAATGTGTATTTGATGTGGTTTATGGACTGCTACAACAGTAATTTAATATGTATTTGATGTTGTTTATAGACTGCTACAAGAGTAATTTCATGTGTATTTGATGTGGTTTATGGACTGCTACAAGAGTAATTTAATGTGTATTTGATGTGGTTTATGGACTGCTACAACAGTAATTTAATGTGTATTTGATGTGGTTTATGGACTGCTACAAAAGTAATTTAATGTGTATTTGATGTGGTTTATGGACTGCTACAACAGTAATTTAATGTGTATTTGATGTGGTTTATGGACTGCTACAATGGTAATTTAATGTGTATTTGATGTGGTTTATGGACTGCTACAACAGTAATTTAATGTGTATTTGATGTGGTTTATGGACTGCTACAACAGTAATTTAATGTGTATTTGATGTGGTTTATGGACTGCTACAACAGTAACTTAATGTGTATTTGATGTGGTTTATGGACTGCTACAAGAGTAATTTAATGTGTATTTGATGTGGTTTATGGACTGCTACAACAGTAATTTAATATGTATTTGATGTGGTTTATGGACTGCTACAAGAGTAATTTAATGTGTATTTGATGTGGTTTATGGACTGCTACAAGAGTAATTTAATGTGTATTTGATGTGGTTTATGGACTGCTACAGCAGTGTGCACTATATTTACATCTGACATGTGCATGCACAATCTTGAAATCTGAGAGCAATGTATTCTAATTTAAATACATAATTCTACACCACAGCAAAATAAAAATACACATCTCATTGTTGTCTTCATTTTATGTCCCAAAGAAGATATAAATTTTCTTCTTAAAACATTAATGCTGATAACATTGTTACTATTGAAACTACAGGTAGAAAAGTGTAACCATGTTTCAGCATATGCTTTCCAAATTAGACAACAATAATAACAGCAATAATAATAATAATAATAATGACTTTATTTAAAGTTAAACTCTATTGTTCAAAAGAACTTTTAATACCCTTTATTTTGGTGATGATTGATGGGTGTATTATGGATTATAGAGTATACAGCTTGGCCTTACTCCTGATGTGAACATTTCAGAAAATGGCTTGTTTCACTTGGTTATTTTCACTTTCTGGACTTCAGAGGTTATTTGTGGAAAAAAAAGAGTAACATTGTTTTTATATTTTATATATTTGGTAATTCATCCATTGCACTTTCAGAAGGTGGTATTATCTAGTTGGGAAAAATTCATTTTCCCAATTTTATTAGGTGCTAAAGATCGTGTTCTTTAGACTAATTCAGGATAAAAAATTTTAGCACATGGGATCCATCTTTGTAGCTATCAGTGTGCTAAGATCACTTACAAAAGTACAATATCCAAAGAAATGTCAGGCACATTACATCAAAGTAGCATAGAGGTATGCCAGCATTCTCTCCACTGTGCATGTTTTAAATGTAAACAACTTCACCTTACATATAACCGCTCCGTTGGCCTAATGGTTAGAGTGTCCGCCTCGGATGCAGGAAGTCGTGGGTTTGATCCACAGTCGAACCATAGCAAAGACTTACAAAAAAGGTACTAACAGCTACCTTGCTTGGCACTCAGCATTAGTCTTAGGACTTGTTGGCCTGGTGTCAGGATAATGTGACTGGGTGGGACATAATGCTACATGTCTGCGGTATGATGCCCCAGTGCTAGACATCACCATAAACTGCCACACTGCAGACATTGTAGTGATATGACTGAAAAATTATTAAAGCTACGTTAAAAATCATAATCACATCACCTTACATACATTACTCTCAAAAATACATAATAACTGGTCAATACCCCTCAAAGCACAATTTTTCAAGATGAGTTGTCTTTAAAAAATGAGCTTGTTATCATTCGATCTTAGGTCTTTTATCAGATTTTACTCGATGATGATATCATTGACCTCAGTCTTTTACCATCAGGTGAAGGTTTCTCATTTCGTAACTTATTTGACTGATAGAGTGTAGTGAATAAGTGGACTCAAAGTTTTCCATTAAAAAGTGATCCACCACCTTTACTAGCTAATACAGGAAGATTATTGACACAAACCGATGTTGTATACTGCTATTTAAAATTTCATGATGCATCTATTTGGACAACCATTTGGTTAAGTCAAAAATTTGACATTCATCAGATAACACATCAATAACATTTTTATCCTTTTTCCACTGGCTACATTCTAGTTTTTATCTATATCTTTATTGGTCATTTTCATGCTTATTGTTGATTTCCAGTCATATTAACAATTTTTGCATCTTCTTTTCATATGAATGTAATTTTCTCAACTTTATAAACTCTGATGATTGATTGTTTCATATTGCTGATTCATCTCCTTTTTATCTCAAGTCAGGTTCTATATCCTGTCCTGTAAGTAGTGGATAGATGTTTATCAGGATTTAGGGTTAGTCAGTTCCTAAGCTCAAGGTCATTCCAGACATACATCTTAACAGTGCTTCATTTGACAAATTTAAAGTAATACATGAGCAGCACTCAGACACCAAAGGTCCATTATGACACTGGCAATATAACATTGTCCTCAATAGAGGTCATTATTCCATTTGCCCCATGTTGTGACATAAGTTTCTAACATCCATACTAGTCTTTGTGCACAACTGACATTGATTGGTCATCCAATTTCAATGCATTGCTATCCGTCTAGCTAGTGTTACATTCTGGGTTATTCAGGAGAAAGTGTTTTATAATATAACTATGCCACTTTTGTTTTAAGTACTTTTGATATTTTGCTTACAAATTTCGTTCTAGTATTAAAACACTCAGTTAAATCAAAAGTATGCTTATTTTTTTGCTCTGGCAGTAATCATTGGTATGTTCATATTTCCCAATCTTTCAGAAACTATTTTGAATTGCCTACCGTTCAGTTAGGAAGTTTGGTTTTTTTGTTATAATAGACCAGGGCAGCTTATGGAATGGCTTGTTGTTCATCATCCATCCATTTATTAGCACAAGTTTAAGGTCTACTTAGTCCTCACTGAAAATGGTACTGCTTATCCAGTATGGCTGCCAAGTCTTCTTGTCATATCAATATATGAAGTTTTGACTTCTTATAATGTCTGTTTTGCCCTAAATGAAAATGGTGTCTGTATGATGTCCAGTACAGTCACCAAAGTAGCCATCTTGATATTGGTACTCCTTCTCAGTGGATAGTCACATGAACATTGGGATTTTATTGTTTCACTAAAATACATCTCATCCTGTTTAGTTGGATTTTAATGAAAATAGTGTGATCTGATACATAGTATGACTTCCATGGCAACTGCTTGAAAATCTTCTTACTGCTACACCTTCAGAACAACATGGGGTTTACACCAGGAGACTTTGAAAATCTTCTTATTACTACTCATTGTGAATGGATTGTGATTTTTACATGGGGTTTTCACCAGAAGACTTCTTATTATGGCAAATTTGGTCAAAAATAAAAATGGTTCCATATAGAAATCCAGCATGTTGCTACAATGGCCAGCTTGAAAATCTTGCTATTGTTACACATTCTGGAATAGCTGGTGATATCAGCTTGGGAGTGGTCACTAAAAGACTTGTTATGATGTCTGGTTTGTCCTAGTGTTGCACCTATAATCTGTCCTCTGAATTTAGGGCACACCCATGTTAAAGGGACTATGTTGTTGTGGGGCCTAATGCCATTTTTCAGTACATGATAGGCTATACATGGCGGCCAGTAGTAATGATGGAGGAAGAAACCGGGAAATCACCGGAAGGAACCACCGACCCACGAGAAGCTACTGGCAAGCTTTCTCACATATCCACATTTTCCGAATCTTAGACTCAAACACAGTGATCTGTAACAGACATCGCTTTAGACCACACGGCCACTCAGGGCAAAAGGGATTATGTAAAATAGTAGATAGTAATTAATGCACCTGTAATACTAAAACAGCTATGACTGTTTTGTCGCCTTACTGTGTCATTTGCACTGTGCTGTCATCTTTTCCATAGACACTTACATTAATTTAAATAAACATTTTATAAAGGTTTCAAACTAATGGAACCATTAACATGTTTGAATATGTAGTTAACCTGAAATGAGCTACACTTTGGAATTTATATTCCATATCTTGTCATCATTTAACTTTAATGGTCACTCATTATCAATATTTCCCTTTTTTCTGAAATATTTTTCAAATTAGGAATTCATGGATTATGTCTTTTGTGTATTTTCATAAACATAGACTCTTGTCATTAGTTCAGCCTCTAAATAAATTGAATCATTGCTATTATAGATCTGCTGTTCAAACCCAAAAATACATGACACTGTTAGCCAGTAAAGTCTAAATTTATATTGAACATTGCAACTTGGCAGATATTCACATATCTATAATCTTGTGATTCTCACTTACATAGCTTTAAAAAGGGTGTTAATTACCCACTTTGCTGTCTGAGGCCATTGCCAACACCTGACATAGATAGGCATTAAAGAAAAATAGGTATGTTTGTTTACTTTTTCCTGAAGAAAAGTCATGCATATTGAGTGCATAGGAGTCATGATTTGGTGGTCAAAAGCTGCAGGTAACTGTGATCCTGCACTCAGGTTGCAAGTATATAGTCCTAAAAGGAAACGTGCCAGTCTGTCATCCATTATTCCTGACACAGGAGCATCTTGAAAATCTTGTTATTGCTGCTCCTCCTAAACTGGAACACATGAAGTTTAAACCTGAAGGCTTCATATGATGTCTTATTGGTTCAAAATGAAAATGGTGCTACCCAGACATGCAGTATGTACCACTCAATGACCATGCTGAAAACCTTGTTATCACTATTCAGCCTTGAAAATTTTGTATTGTGACTCCTCAACAGGACCTGATATTGGGTGAGTTTTCATGTGAAGATTTCCTATGATGTCTTGTTGGTCCTAAATGAAAATGGTGCTTCCCAGACATCCAACATGGCCACCCCATTGACCATGCTGAAGACCTTGTTATTGCTATACAGTATGAAAGGATGGTTACATCAGCATAGTGTTTTCACTAAAAGACTTTGTGTGATGTTAAAGTTAACATAGATTTATTACAAATTATTACAAATTATGGTTCTAAAGAATGAAATAATGAATTTTTAAAAAAATTCATTCAAATTCAGGAGATGAAATATGACTGAATAGCAAATCAAAATTGAACCAATGTGAAATGTGTGTGAAATGGGGTCATAGAGCATCCTTACATGCATCCACTGTAGTTTGGTCAGTACAGTGTCATTCATAATGATTCTTATTTTTATTAATATTCGTAATATAGAAACAAAATTGATTGACTGTTGAGTTTTTACATTTGAATTCAATTATAAAATTTCTTGCTCTTCATGAGGATGGCTTTTGAGATGAGCCATCCATATTTAATTGTAGGCTTTGTTTTGAGATGAGTAACCCATCCATATTTAATTGTAGGCTTTGTTTTGAGATGAGTAACCCATCCATATTTAATTGTAGGCTTTGTTTTGAGATGAGTAACCCATCCATATTTAATTGTAGGCTTTGTTTTGAGATGAGTAACCCATCCATATTTAATTGTAGGCTTTGTTTTGAGATGAGTAACCCATCCATATTTAATTGTAGGCTTTGTTTTGAGATGAGTAACCCATCCCATATTTAATTGTAGCTAGAGACCCCATATTGCTTGTGTTAGATGAGTAACCCATCCATATTTAATTGTAGGCTTTGGTTTGAGATGAGTAACCCATCCATATTTAATTGTAGGCTTTGTTTTGAGATGAGTAACCCATCCATATTTATTTGTAGGCTTTGTTTTTAGATGAGAAACCCATCCATATTTAATTGTAGGCTTTGGTTTGAGATGAGTAACCCATCCATATTTATTTGTAGGCTTTGTTTTGAGATGAGTAACCCATCCATATTTAATTTTAGGCTTTGTTTTTAGATGAGTAACCCATCCATATTTAATTGTAGGCTTTGTTTTGAGATGAGTAACCCATCCATATTTAATTGTAGGCTTTGTTTTGAGATGAATAACCCATCTATATTTATTTGTAGGCTTTGGTTTGAGATGAGTAACCCATCCATATTTAATTTTAGGCTTTGTTTTTAGATGAGTAACCCATCCATATTTAATTGTAGGCTTTGGTTTGAGATGAGTAACCCATCCATATTTAATTGTAGGCTTTGGTTTGAGATGAGTAACCCATCCATATTTAATTTTAGGCTTTGTTTTTCAGTCATGAAATGGTTTATAATGTATATTATGGGGTTCAGTTGTTGGGAAATTACTGTTTCATTATGACTCCATTGCTGGCCTTTTCAACATTATATATATATATATATATATATATATATATATATATATATATATATATATATATATATATATATATATAACATATATATATATATATATATATACAGTGTTATGTTTAATGTCTGCTAACAGATTGAACTTTATCATTACCGAATGATTATTTTAAAAATTGAATTTAATGTTTCTAAGTCTGTAAATGAGAGTAAAATATCCTTTGGTTAGATTTCCTATGAAAAGATC